AAGGCCCCAACGGGCACACACCACAGATGTTCTGTAAATGTTCGGAAGATTTTGGCGATCTCGCCTTGTCGGCTTTCCGACGGTCCAAGACAGCCCAAGAGGTACCCAGAGGCCTCCAAGAGGGCCCCCAAAGACCCAAGAAGGCCTGAGAAACCTAAAAAAACAGCCCAAGAGGCCCCCAACACGGCTCCTACAGGGAGCCCAGACGGGGGACCCGAACGGACATTTCGAGCCCTCGGCCTGAGAGGCTCCCAGGAAGCCTCCAGAGGCCCACAAGAAGCCCCGCAAGAGGCCCCAAGAGGCCCCCAAGAGACCCCCAGGAAGCCCAAAGAGGCCCCCACGAGGCTCGCAAAGAGGTCCCCAAGAGCTTCCTAAGAGGCCCCAAAACTACCCCTAGAAGGCCCCCGGGGGCGTTCGTGGTCGTTGACGTCGTCGTTGTCGTCGTCGTCGTCGTCCTCGTTAAGGGTCGGCGGCGCCAGCCGTAAGGCCTCTCCAATCGAAGATTGCAGGACCCGAAGTACTACTCCGACGCTGGACCTCACAGGGGCCCACGAAAGTGGCGACGATATCGCAGTTCGCAGCCCCAAGGGACGGCGAGGCTTCATTCTGATCTGCGTGGGGCACCACTCCGCTGGGCCTCGAAGGGGCTCACGAGAGTGGCAGCAGTATCGCACTTCGCGACCCCTCAGGATCGGCGAAGTCCCGTTCGGCTTCGTGGGACACCACTCCGCTGGACCTCCCCGGCGCCCACGAAAGTGGTGACGATATCGCAGTTCGCAGCCCCAAGGGACGGCGAGGCTTCATTCTGGTCTGCGTGGGGCACCACTCCGCTGGGCCTCAAAGGGGCCCACGAACGTGGCAGCAAAATCGCACTTCGCAACCCCTCAGGATCGGCGAAGTCTCGTTCGGCTTCGTGGGACACCACTCCGCTGGACCTCCCCGGCGCCCACGAAAGTAGCGACAAAATCGCAGTTCGCAGCCCCCCAGGGGACGGCGAGGTCTCACTCTGATCTGCATGGGACGCCACCCCGCTGGACCTCCCCGGCGCCCACGAAAGTGGCGACAACTTGCAGTTCGCAGCCCACAAGGACAGATGGGCTTCGTCCGAATCTGCTTGGGACGCCACTCCGCTGCACCTCCCTGGCGCCCAGGAACATGGCGATACACATGCCGATCGCACGCACCCATGCAACGCGAGCAGGACAATGAGGAAGAGCAGAGACACAATGGGGGAAGAGAAGGTTGCGATTACCCGTGTCGGAGGCGAGTGCGAGCGGCGGCCCCAGACAGAACATCACGGAGTGCCTCTGCGAAGGTATGAATGCGGGCCCGCCCAAAACGCCTGGGTGCACGGGAAAGGCTAGAGGAACAGCCGCGGAACGATCCAAGGAACAGCGAGCCCCTTCCGAACTCAAAGCGGTCCTTCTTTCGGCAGCTTGGCTGCATCCTCACCCCAGGCCTTGTCTGACCCTTGTCCACTCCCCCAGAGAAAAACAAGTAAAACACGTCCCAGGCCCTCGATCCTCCTTCGTCGATGTTCCTCTGATGGACACATGTTCCAACACCACTACCATACGTAAAAGAGTGAGGAGGAGGAGGAGGAGGAGGACCTCCTCAGTCCCCCTTCTCCCCCGTCCTACATATGGTAGTGGTGGTGGAAAATCCCACCAGCCCTCTGTGCTCGGAGGTTTACCTCCCCCCCCTCCCTGGGTCTGGACGGTCTCCCCCGCGAGGGGTTAGAGCGTCCAAGATGTCCCACGATAGCTTCAAGAATGCTTTAGCTAGCACAAGATGGCCTCCAAGATCGCCCACTCTACCTCAAGGCAACTCAAGATAGCCTCCAACGCCCTCCCGTCACTCCAAGGACCCCCCAAAGAAGCCAAAATGGGTTCAAAACCTAAGAACAATCATGTGTTGTGCCTTTCGCTTTTTCGCTTCCGATGGGCTTTTGAGGCGTCCAGATGGCGCCAACATAACCTCAAGAGACGCCCAAGAGGGTCCTAAGACGGGCCCTAAAGCACCCAAGAGCGCCCCAAGAGCGGTCCAAAAGGTCCCCCAGAGGCCCCTTTTGGGCCTCCGAGGGGGGGCCCAAGGTTACTACCCCCCTCTTTTTGAGCGAAGGGGTCCAAGACGGCCCCAAGAGGTCTCCCAGACTCCCCCAAAGAGCCCCAAGAGGGCCCCAAGACTTCCCAAAAGAGCTCCAAGAGAGGCTCAAGAGAGCCCCAAGAGACCCCCAAGACAGCCCCAGGCGAGCCCCACGGGGAGCGCGAGAGAGCCCGCAAGATGGCCCCACGAGTTCCCCAAGAACCTCTCGAAATAACTTCTCGGGCCCCCATGAAATAGAACATCCGATTCTACGACGGACTCAAATGTAAGGGGGTCGGGCCTCAATTCATCCTTCTCGCGCCGCGTTCCTCCTGCTCCTCCTCCTCCTGCTCATTCCCTTCCTCCTTTTCTGTGTTTCCTCCTTCTTCTCCTAATTAGTCCTCCTCCTCCTCCTCCTCCTCCTCCTCCTCCTGTTCCTCCTCTTCCTCCTCTTCCTCCTCCTCCTCCTCTTCCTACTACTCCTCCTCTTACCCCCAAAATGGCCCCAGGCATCACCAACACCAGCGGCTCCACTTGCTCCAAGATGGCTTCGAAAGGGCAACAAAGCACCACAACCAGCAACGCAACCAGCATCACCACCACCACCACCACCACCACAACGACAAGGGCGACGAATGATAGATACAGTCGCCTGCGCCAAATACGCTTACCACAAGGACCACCCCGGCGTGTCTTGCACCGTTTTTCTTCTGAAACTTCGTGGCGGGAAAGCTATGTGTGATCATTGCTTCTCATGGCCCAGCGTGGATGCAGCCACCTGCGCTGGAGACGCTTACCACGGGGACCACCACGTCTTATCTTGCACCGGTTCCCATCTTAAGCATCACTGCGGGAACCTATGCGTGATCTCTGTTTTTCCTGAAGAAAGCCGCGCACGGGCATGCTTCCAGCCGTCCCTGATAACTCCCCTGCTGATCGTTTCTGGATGGGCAGGTGGGGATACGCGTCCGATAAAATCAAAACAAAAAACGGGTTTGCTGTCACTCAGAAATGGAGCTGGTTCCAATTCGCAAACTCAGAAAGGGAACGTTCTTCTCACCGGGTGCACACTGTGGGCGTCTCGCGCCACTGAGCTCAAGGGCCCTAAGACCGAAACAGCGGCGGAGCACAACGATAGGAGAGAGCACGAGCAGAAGGGGAACAGACGAGGGAGAGAAAAGAGACAACATTATCGTAGCGATATTGCACTCACCATTTTTTCTTTGGCCTCGAATCTCTCGAAAGAGACTGTTTACTCGGAGACAAAAAAAAAACATGGCATGGCCTACTAGCCTGCCGGCCTGGGTTAACACAAGCAGCGTGCGCGTACGAACTCTAGAAGAGACCTTACGTCTGACCTACAAGGTAACTCGAAATATGGAGAATGATGTGTCAATTCAGGCATGACACCTCATTTCCAAACAAAATCGCTTGCCTCACGAAGGTGGACTCTGATCAGAGCGTAAGCTCAACAAATTCTGAAAAAAGAGCTCGCGCAGCTGGCCGGGAGGCTTGACCTTCGTGGGGTTGTCGGCGAAATGCTGGTTGGTCGTGACCCAGAACACGGTGGGCTTCGGGTTTTCGGCATCGAACTCCTCAACTTTGCGTGCAAGTGCAGCGCTGTCGATACTCAAACGCCGCTCGAGTATAGTCGAGGGTGTTCCTTGCTTCGTGGTAATGTCATACAACGACTTACAATCCGCGGCCACCTCGATGGAAATGAAATCTGCAGGGCGCTTGCCGGGAATCCTGGGCTTCAAGCTCTCGAACAGAATCTTTGCAAACAGATGTCGGAGAAAGTGCGCCGTATCAACTCCTGCGTCAACTGCCATTGATTTTGCCGTTAAAGTGCTTCACACCACTCGCCGGATACGGTGGGAACGCTAACCAAGAAGAGATGCGGAGCCACCGCGAGCTGATAGGCAATCCCTGTCTGCACAGAAAACCATACTGCCTGCCTGACTCTGATTCTCCTGAGCATTGGCCCAAGCGGCATCAGCAAACGCCACAAGGACAGCACGTGCGACATCCAAACCAACAGTTGTCAAACCAGCGTCCTTAGCATCACGAGCCTCGCGTAGAATGCGGTAGGTGACCATGAGGTTTGATGTGGTTGGGCTCGAGCCTTGACCGAGTGAGGTCGCTGCAGCCAGATCTGCTCGCGACGGGCCGACAAGCCATTGACAGGAACCAACGCCACTGGAAAACATAGTCTTCTCCTCGGTTGTCAAAACCACCTCTGGCGTTGCCGATCTCCATCGTGGTAACGGAAACAGAATGCATTGCGAAGTAAACTCGCACTGGTTGACGGAAGTGCTACCATCCGTCTGCCTGGCCACATGCATACCGCAGTATGTCAAGCCATTGCCCCACCATTTGCCGAAACTGAAACGGTTGCGTATCGTGTCAACAAGAACCATACCATGCACTGGATCCACACAACCAATGAGGTCGTCCACGTGAATGCCCAGAACCAACACTCAAAACTTGAATTTGTAGAAAGGGAACAAAACCTTGTCCAGTAGACACTGCTTGCCACCGATGATGATCATATAACTGATCGCGGAGCTCACGCCACCAGAGCCGGGGACTGTTGACGAAACCGTAATTGGCACAGCGCACCAACAGGACAACACCTTTTAAGCACACCAGGGAGGGAGTCCTTCACCAAGTTGACGAAGATAGATGGACTTGTCCCGCTGTGCCTTCGTCTGGTCTGCCCGAAGGAGCGCGGTCGGTGACGCTGCCAGCTGGCAATGACATGCAGAAGAATGAAGAAGCAAACCCTCGTCAAAATTGAGCGCGTCACGTCTCAGAGTCGGGACATCCGGGTCGTTGTAGCCTATGCCCGCTGAGCGAGCCTCCCCGCCGATCTCAGCAAATCCACGTCCGGCGGTCTTGTCACGGTGGGAGACCCTGGTGGGGCAACTCCACGTCCTTGCGCTTCTCGGGGTCCGTCTCGATCTCCCTGGGAGCCTTCGCGTCGAAAACCTCCGCTGCAGAAAACCGTTGCCGCGAGGGCCATTCGCGAGCCAGAGCATCACGGCATAGTTGTTCCTGGTCATCAGGGATCTGTGACCAGGGGATCTCCCGGATGAGCGCCCGCTGGTCCTTCTTGGCCATGGTGGCGTTGCCGTTCATCGCGAGGTAGATCTCGCGGGCGGGCATGTGATCGTGCGCGGAGTTCTCGCAGTTCAACACCGCCACCACAGGATCCTTCTCAGTGCCATTGAAGCAGAGGTAGGTGCCTGGATCATACGAAGTAAGAGCAGCCGTCGGCGGTGCAACGGGCGGCTCAGCGAAACGAGGACGTCGCGCCACTGGCCCCTCTGCAGCTGCGGCTGCAGGACAAGGCCGAACTGCCAATAGCACATTGTCCCGCATCGCCTGGCGATCCTGCGTCGGCCGCCCCGAGAAGGAGGTTCACTTGACGCTGCGCCCTCGGCTTGCGGCGGTGCGTCTCGTGAAATTGCTCGCGCTGGTGGTGGCGCCCGTTCTCGGCCAGTCTCTGTCTCCAGGGCTGCTGCCATGTCGGAGACAGAGACGTCGGCGGGGTCCAGCTCGGCGTCGGGAGAAGCCCCGCCTCGCTCGTCGCGATCGCGCTCCGTAGGCGTCTGAGCAGCTCGGCGCAACTCGGCCAGATCGGCATCGTCGGGGGCCGACACCACGGTTCCGTCGGCCTGGCGAAGCTGCTCCTTGGAGACCAGAATGGGATGGCCGCGCGACTGCGCCCAGAAATTACTGTCGCCTGGTCCGCCACTGCCGCCAGGTCCGATCACAGTCGCCACGATGAGCCTCGCCGGGCACTGCTTGCCCCCCTTGTTCTCGGGCAGTCGCCAGAACGCAACGCGATCACCAGCAGCGCAGTCCCCGCAGCAAGGCCGATTGACCCGGAGGATCGACCTCGTGAGAGACTCGGACCTTCATACTCGGCAAACGCCATGTCCGCAAGATCGTGGACTCGAGCCCATTTGGCGAGCTCGGCGTCGGCCGTCATAGCGCTGTGAACCACCGCGGAATTGGCAGGGTCGGTGATGCTGTCGGGGATCCTCGGATCCTTGCCGGAAGTCCACTGGCATGGTGAAGCTCCACGCTGGCGTGCACGGGTGTTCCTGGATTGGTAGAGCGGCGCGGTCATCAACTTCATAGCGTCTGGGCCAATCAGCTGCATGTCGTCGATAACCCGCTTCGCCATGTGCTTCCAGAGCGTGATGTTCGCCCCCGCGCGCCCGGACTACCAGTGGGCCTCTGCCAGAGGTTTTTCCAATAGCACCTCGTGATCCTCTAGATGTTCGACGAACGCTGACTGAAAGGCTCAATCAATCGCGCGCCACGTGATCCGCATAGCCAGCCCAGGATAACCAACGCATGGAGAAGGTCTCGAGCACGAGATGAATCTCTGGAAGGACAGTAGACCTCTATCATCAGCAGGCCTGGCATTTTCCAATATGCTCAGAATCTGATGCATGAAGTTCGCGGCATCTGGCAGGTTTGCAAAATAAATCAAGACCAACGCGCGAATTGAAAGACCTCGGGCGTCGTGGTGACACGAACTGCATCCTAGCCTTCGGTTGAGGTCGATCGCGGTCTGGTTGGCGTCGCTGCCGTTCAGGAACCTCGTGAAGTCAGGCTGCAGCGGGTGGCTCAGGTTCTGGAGGATCCTAGCCACGATGGGAGCCACGCTCTTTCCTACTGCTGCAAGAGGCGGTCCTGCATACCAAATCTCGTCGCTGGCGCGCTGCTGACACGGGCTGGAGCGGGCGCTGGTTTTCGCGACGCTCCGCCGACAGGTGGTCGTCGAGGAAGGGGCGCGTCCGCAGGCGCCCTGCCGATCACGACAAACGTATACCTGACGGGTGCCAGAATTCGTTCCCCCGGTGCGCAAGCGTCAGGAACGTACGTGCTCGACAACCAGCCATGATCTGAGAGCACGAATGCCGGGCATCGATGAACGACATTGCCAAGCTCAGGTCGAAGACGCTTCGCCTCGGGTTGGAAAGCCGCCAGAATGCAATGGAGCTGCCAAGGCATGAGCTCCTCCACCTGCTTCCATATCTCGGAGTCTTTGGAGATGTTGGCCGATCCAGCGCTGCGGCGAATCATGATATTCACCGCGCCGCTCACGATTGCCCTCCAGCGGGGCTCCGCCAGGTTGGGGGCCGCATTGCAGACCTGGTGCGCGCGCGAAGCTGGCTTGTCGTTGCTGACCGTGCAATCGCTGCAGATGTGGACGCCGTGGCAGAATTCCTCCGACCCGATGGCCCTCGTCAGACCACGACAGATAACATCGGCCAAAGTGCCAGGTATAGACTTGTGACCGCGCGGTATTGCCGGAAGGTCCTCCGCCAGAAACCTCCCCATGTTGATAACGACGGTCGCAATGCCCGTCCAGCTCTTGAAGCAGTAGTAGGCGCGTGCCCAACCACATAACCAACTTCGTCAAAGGTAGGCCATCCTTGCCGACCATGCCGAAGTGAGAGGTGCATTCGTAGGTGTCCTGCGGGAGCTTCACGATGACGTCCTCGCGCCACGAGTCGGCCGTCGCGGGGTTCTCGAGCAGCGCGCGGTTGCCGCATTGCTTCCGCTTGTCGATGATGTCCTTGGTGAACGTCAAGAGACTCCTCTCCTCCTGGCGCATGCCCTCCAGGACGTCCGGCTTGTCCCTGTTGTCGACGTTGCGGTCGAGCAGCGTCCGCAACGTGCGCGGCAGCTGGGCGGTCGCGAGGCGGGGCTCCCACTTGTTGATCGAGGTGAGTACTTCTTGTCGCTGCTTCCGCAGCTTGAGGTCTTGGCCGGATAGCTCATCGACTGGCTGTAGCGCGCGTGCGCCAACCGCTGGCGCGATCCGCGGCGCGGATGGAAATGCCGCGCTCGCCGCCGAAGACCTCGAACAAATCGAAGCCTCGCCGGCTTCGCCTGGGGAACTTGCTGTTGTTGAGCTTCTGGGTGCACGCGATCCGTCTTGAGGCTAACGTTCTGGTAGGCAGCCCTGGCCATGCCGAGGTGCCACTTTCGCCTGTCCAGCGCTCGTGGTTCCGCCGGATCCGGCCACGGCGGTCGCTCCCAGCTCGAATCCAGCTCCTCGACCCCCACCGCCTCCGAGCGGGGTGAGCGGGCCCTCCTTCCTGACGCTGGGGCTCCTCCGCGGGGCCTGCGAATAACCGGCCTGGGGCAAGCGACGTGAGAGCCGCCCCGACGAAGAACGCGGCGCGTAGGAGCTGCTTGCTGGTGTTGCTGGGCGTGCCCGGTCGCTCTTGTCGCCTGGCTTCTTGCGCGTGCATTGGCAATTCCAGGAGATCGCCTCCGTCGAGGCGCGCCTGTTGGCCGCGACCGGGTACCTCCGTTTTCCAGACCGCCCCGCAATCGAGGCGCTCCCTGGATTTGCCCGCTGGGACCGTGTAGCCGTGCTCGCCGTTGTCGGGGTGCAAACGCACTTGTGCGTTGGTCGGGAAGTGGGCCATTCTCGTTGAGGACCCAGTCCGGGCATCCGGTCGATGGCCAAGCGCCTGGAGCGACGGATCGGCCAGGGTCTGCATCGCCGGGAAGCGGTTCGCGAGGGCCGAGTCCGTCAGCTCCCGGCGCCTGCTCTTGGCGAATGTGCGCGTGACCGCCACGGCGGCGCGGGCCATGACTGCCCATTGCCCCCAGACGCCCTCGGGCTTTGGCTTGCACCGCCGCGGCATGCGCGGCTTACTATGGAGTGGGCGAAAGCGTCGCCGGCGCGGAAGCTGGAGAGGCTGAAACTAAAATATGGAACGAGGCATGCATATCACTGGGATTCGTCCAATATTTCGCCCCGGCTGAGAACGGAATGTTCCGATGGAATTCTGTGTGACTGTCTCTAATCATCCACGTCGTCGTCGTGCTTGTTTGCTGCCCGAGACGTCCCTTGTTGTCAATTTCGATGGTCGTGCTGCTGATAGAACTTGTTTATCTCGTCAATTTTGTCGTGGTTGCTCAGTTCCCGCTTGGACGTGTAGGCTTGATCGTCTAGCTGTTGATGATCCTTTCGAGGTTGCTGATGAAGGCCGTGTTGATGCTGCTGATGTAGAACTTGATGGGGCTGCCGATGATGACAGCGATGTGCTTGATAACCGCTCGCTTCCTGAAGATAACATTCGCGATGATGCCCGCCGGGATGACTGGCCGACAATATTGGGGAATCAACGTCATTTTCCACTGGGGGCTTTTGACAAACTGCAACTGCATACGTGTCCAACGAAGAACCACCAACATCTGGAACACCTGCATGCGGCCACTCGTCGATCCGAACGGCGAGGAGTCTGCTCTTGGAAATCACCAAAAGCTTGCTGGTAAAATCAATCGCCACAGAACGGGTTTGAGACTTGGCCAAATCGATCACGCACCCGAGGTCGGTCATCCGACCCCTTCCTCGAAGACAGGGCAAACGCGCTGACTTGGAGTCGTCCATCGTAGAAGCATGCAAAATCATCGCGCGCTGGTGTACCCCAACCAGCAGAAACCGCCGCTCGGTACTCATCTGAGGGGCTCCCGGACCAAATCAGCATTGCGCACGTTCGTCCTGAACACAAACTTGCAGATCAATTGGATCCAAGCATCGCTTCGCAAACAGCTGTAAGCCATGCGGAACAGCCACCGTAAGTCTGACAAGCAGTGTCCAAAACCAGTAAGCTTGCGTCTTTATCGATGTTCTCGGCAATCAACACATGATTGGTCATCGTCATTATACAAACTGTCCGATCCTTGTGAAAGACCTTCGCAGAGTGGTTCGGCTGCTGGCATCCATTTCCCTAGGCCCTAGGTCCTCATAATTTGTCGCGTGTGATTGCGCTCAGATGTTGGGCCTCGGTCCTCTCGTCGACCGCATCCACGTGCAGCTTGAGCAAAACAGTCCTGGTGATCGTGAGGCTTTCGAGTCCCGAGTGACAAATGAATGTTCGTAGTTGCGGCCATCGCGTGATGAACATCTTCTGATTCTGCCACAATCGGTAATCTGTTGGCCGCGTAACCCGTAGATGCCGAAAACGCCGCTCATGTTCCGGAGCGCTGTTCTGGGGGAAGTGCGGCCGCACCCTCCTGAGGAGCATGACCGATCGGCCACCACGAGCCCGAGGAATGAGAAGCCTCATTCGTCGCCCGACCTGGAGGTGACGGCCGCTTGCCGGGCGCCTGTCGCCCGCCCAGTGGCCGATCTCGCCACAAGCTGAGCAGTTCGTCACCTTCTCCAAGGTTTCCAAGGACATGCCGCGTCGAGCCTGGCCCATGGCACCGTCGCGGCCCTTGCCCTTGCCCTTGCCGTAGGCCCTCAACGTGAGACCCTTGCCGGACTTGCCCTTGCTCGAGCCCTTCGTGTTGTAGTGACTGCGGGCCCGGTTCGCCTGGTCAAGGCGGTCGTGGGCCTGCTTTAACGTCACGCACGCCGCGTGGATCTCGCGCAACAAAGCCAGTAGTCGTCGTAGGCGTCCTCTTGGGCCCAACCGTCCTCGACGTGGTACTCCCAGTCCTGGTAGTCATAGTCGCGCCAGGGTTCTGGGGGGTCAGGTTCGTCGCCTGTCCAATCATATTCGTGCTGGCCGTCGGTGTTGGTCATGTGGACGCTATTGTACTGCGGCTTGAATTTGCGATCACCCTGGTACTTGTTACGAGGAACAGGAGGTAATGGAAACAATGCCGCAGCCTGCCCCATCATAGGTTTCCACATGTGCGTTGAACCAGCAGCCATCTAGAGTATCGTTTTTGTCTTGGCGTCAGACTCTGAGTTCGTCATGAACAGTCTGATGATAGTCGGGTCGGGGATGTCCCCTCCACCGACGTCGCCTGCAGCACGACCTTGTCCACAAGCGTTGCCAACTGAAACAAGGTCTCACCAATTTAATGTGTCCCATTTGGAAGATATCGTCCATCGCTATTCCGATCTTCGC